TTTCAGTTCCAGTATTAGTACAAACCTACATAAATACTCACAGAAACATCAGAAACATATTCGAATACTATTCCACGCTCGATTTGGCAACTCTAGCTGGGGGCTGGGGGCTGAGGGGCTGAAACCAGAGCTACTGATTAAAAGCTGTCGCCGCTGGCTATTTATTTTTATTATTTTTGAAACTGATTGCAGTGCCCAGAGGGCAGGAAATACATATCTAAGATTATTTCAAAAAACCCACTATAGCATTTGAAAAGCTATAGTATAAAGAAACTGAAAGTTTCAGAACAAATCACTTGACAAGATCTGAGATACACTTCCTGCTCTCTTTTTTTCCAGATTTTCTAGAACTCGGTCGGGGTCGTTGGGTTGTTTCTTCCCGCCCATTCTACTCGAGCTCTTCTAGCTAGTTCTTCTAGCTGTACCAATTTTTGGGTCGTATCTGTGAGTGTGTGTTTTCATTATCAGAAGAGCGTCGCTTCGCCACCACGTAATAGATAACGGTAAAAGAAACCAACAAAAAAAATTGGTACATCTCTAATTGAAAATGTTAAAGCAAGATAGTAAATATTTATCGAAAGTTAACACGCAAACGAGGCAAACGAACACGTTCCAGTTGATTGGATGCATTTGTCCAGAACTAGAGTATCTTTAACTTCCTTTAGTTAAGAACTACAAGAAAGTATCTTTGAAAAACCTGCATCTTTTGTATCCTTGAAATACCATTTTTCGTTCAATCCTAGCCGACACTGTACCTGTACTACTACAAGGTTGTGAGCCAGGATACGCAGACATACGCCATCTCCCTCGCACCTTTGGTAGGGAGGTGCCGAACCACAGACACTACAAAGCGCAGTAAGAAAGAAAAATGTTGTGCAGAAAAAAAAAAATAAAAGAAAAAGAGACAACAAACCAAAAGAATTAAAAAAAAAAAAAAACAAGAACTGCAACGACGCCGTTGACCTGCAGGCCTTTCAAGAGGGTTAAAGCGAGATGGAGCTAGTTGTGGGAGAACGACCCAGGAGAGACAGGAAGGGAGGGAGGGGGGTGGCCGGGTCAGAGGAGGAAGAAACAGCGTCTGGGATCTCGGGATGCTGTTAAATTGGATGCTGCTGCTGCTGCTGCCGCTCTTTCGCGCTCCTCTGAAATAATAAAACTCCCTTGTTCGCAGATTTGCTCGTTTTTGTTGCTTTTGTTGCTTTTTTCGCCCATTGTCTTTTTTTTTTTTTCAATAAAATGCGTCAAGTCGATTTCATTCACCAGCAGCTGCTTTGGGGGTCGCGGCTCCGGCTCTGCTGCTGCTGACGCATCGTCGGCGTCGTCTGGGAACAGAAGGAGAAGAAGAAGAAAAAAAAAAACTTAGGGAGGAGTTGAAAATTCCGCGAATTTTAAAGAGGGCTACAGTGTGGATCATAAGCTTAAGATATTTTCACGATAATTTATTTCAAAATTATCTAATTTATGTAGAATTAATAATAGCAACACCCCCTTGAAGAGTATCAATTATAATAATTTTTTTAATTATTCTACGAAATAGTCGCTTTTTGGCAATGACCACTGTACTTTAATTTGCATCGGATCCAAGGAATCGGTCGTGATGTTGGCTTGGCGGCGAGCCTTTGTCTGCGTTGGGATGGGATGTCGATTGGAATTGGTATCTGACGGATATTTTATCTGTCCAGTGTCGGTATGGGACTCGCTTAGAAGAGAAGGCTTTGTGTTTATGGGTGTTTATATGTGTGTGTGTGTGTGTGTGCAGAGCAGGTAAAGGTAAACGTAGTTTGCTTTGTTCTGTTTTACGGTCTGCTCTTTGTGCTGGGCTGCAGTTCGAGTATCTGTATCCTCTGGATACTGTGGATAATGGATGTGCTGGAGGTCAAAATAATAGCCCTGAAGATACAAGCTATTGGGAATAAGGGTATTACTACCTTTTATTATTCCAATAATTTAGTACTCTTCGCTTTGTGTTAGTTTCTAGTATTTTGGCCATCATTGTGGGTGTTGTTATTGTTGTTGCCTGGGTACCATTGAACTCTGTGCCCCTGCCTGCCTCTGCTTCGATGATGATGCCTTCCTTGGCTGCGTCGCAGTTGCAACCCCAAAAACTGAAAGAGACCGCAGGGGGAACGCATGGAAATGAAACACACACACACTACAACACACAGCCTTGTTTATTTTGCTGCACAACCAGAACGAACGCTCTGCTTCCTCACTCCATATTTGTTGTTTTTTGTTGTTGTTGCCTCGTTTTGCATTTTTGTGGCATTACAGTGAAGCTTGCATATGGTGTAATTGGTTAACAATTTTTGACCTTAAATGAGGGGTACGTGGATGATTTTTTTTAGGTGTGACTGTAATTGGTTTTTTAATGGAAACCCCCTCTTTATTTCTTTTTCTGCTCCCACACTCTCTTTGGGTTGATGGCTTGAACTTGTCCGCTCTTGTTCTTGATTATTATTTTCCATAATCATCATCATCATCAGGCCGTGCCTTGTTTTGTTTTCTTTACCTTACCAATACCACTACAAATACCACTACCAATACAACACTTCCCCTGAGCCATGAAATTTATAATCTTGTACAAATTGTTTTGCATTAGTAATGCCTGTGCGCAGTTTTGTTCCACTTCTCACATGGGGTAACCACGTCGATTCTTTCTTCTGCCTGCTCTGCTCCCTTTCTTTATATTATTCTTCTTCTTGTTGTTCTTATTCTCCCCCTTCTTTTTTTACTTAATTAGAGGCAGAACAGACCAGAAGAAGAGAGGTAGTGTGGGAGCGGGCACGCCCTCAGTGCACTGCACTCGCATTTCTGATTATTAGCTGCTCTATTTTTAAACACTTTTACAAGCGGTCTGGAATTTGTTGGTACTACCATACCCCCCCTTTTTGTATCCCTCAGGTCGTACGTAAAACATATGGCACAGACATTGAGCTCTGGCACACTTCACTTCACTTACCCGGAAAAGTGAGGGAAAAGTGGAGACGATACATCACAATTCTTCCACTGAATGGCCGGCCCCACGGCCCCCAAATAATATTAATCTTGTCATGATATACAATCCAACTGTCAGTTTGATTTTAGGCCAAAACCACTCTAGCGCCCCTCTGTTGTCTTCCTCCCCCCCTCGTCAAAACTATCTCACAAATTTGCTAATCTAATCGATAGACAACTTACTCATTATCAACCTCTGCCCTGCTCACTCATTTCGAGTACTTCCTTTTGGATATATACCCTTTGAGATATAATTCTATAGGGGATATAGCCATCAATTATTATACGATTTCTAAAATAAATATTACCCGACACTTGTAATTATTTAATATTTATTCTAAGGTAATAGTTACTGTAGGGTATCTGGAGACCTCTCACACCCCACCAAAAGCTTATACTTCCTTACTGTTTTTTTTTTCTCTCTTAGGCCGATGACGTTTTGTTGCTATTCTTGTGTTTATTAACTAATTTGTCGAAATTACCGTTGGTTTATTTATGAGTCAGTTTCATTATTGACTGACTCTGTGTGTGCGTTTGTCTGTGTGGGTTGTCAGGTGCGAGCGTGTAATGCTTAGAGTGAGTGATCGATACCTTTTGAAGATCTCATCTCACAATTGGCAACAGTTGGCAAGCCACTCAAAAAATGCCGCTACTTTACATGTGTAAATATGAGATTTTATATGGATGAGTGTGTGTGTGTGTTGGGATTTATGTGCTGTCGTCTGGCTATTTCTCTTCCGTCACCTGTCTCTTTTTTACTGCCTGCCACTATCTATGTATCTACCGGTATACAGAAATTTTCGCCGTGCAGTTATGCTGATGAGATGTGTGATGATGATAATGATGATGATGATGCTGCTGCTGCAACGTCATTTCTAGCATCATAGAATTTCTGTCTCCTTTCTCCAACTCTCTAGGTCTGCTCGAAAGTTCCGCCGCAACATAGAACAGACACCCACGATGGGGAGAAAGATTGAGTGAGTGAGAGGATGAGTGGGGGAGTTGGAGAGTACTTTTTGTTTTTATTGCTTTTGGATGCGGTCGTTGCCCAAATTGGGAAAAAAACATGCGCATACAGTGTTATCGGTTATCGCTTCCTGCTTGCTCTCTGTGCTTTCTCTCTCTGCTATCTCTCTTCCCCGTTCTCACGCAACCTGTAGCGCGCGCAAAAATTTTGCCGTGGAAAATTGTTGCTTTTCCTGGGGAGACGGCCTCCCTTTTCCCATTTTATTTTTTTTATCGTTGTGTGATTGTGGGTGGGTGGTCGCCATATTGTTTCAGGGGGTTGCTAAACACCGCAGAGGGTGGTGGTGGTGCAGTTTTGTTGCTGCTGTTGCTGCCGGCATTCAACAGTTCGGCAAAATGGCTCTCCTTTCTCTTTGGCGCTCGCTCTCTCTCTTGCTCTGGCTCCCTTCTCTCTGTGGCAATGTAAATAGGAAATTTTACGTGTATGTATTGATTTTTCCCTGATTTTGTTTGGATTTTCCTGTGTTTTTTGCGAACAAATAGCAGGTTAATTCTAACCAAAAAAAAATGAAACCCCAGACCAGACCAGACAGATAGACAGACCGCAGCTATGTTGCAGCTCTGATGATTATTGTTGTGGTTGTTGTTGCATGCGCCTAGGACATAATGCGCTCACGTTGCGGCTGCGCTGCCCTCCGGGCTCTGCCGACGTCGTCGTCGTCGTTGTCGTTGTCGTTGTCGTTGTCGCTCTGCCAGGAGCTGAGCTTTACCCGGGTCGCTGCATTATGCGCAGACTTAGTTTTCCATTTTCAGGGAGCAGCGTCGCATTCGCGTCACGCTTGTCGCCCAGAGAAAATTTCTCCAAGAGCGTTTACAATACGACGAGTCTATTGCAGTGTGTCCTTGCCGGAAAACGACGCACGTCATTGCTTTTACTGTCAGTTGTTGTTGCTGTTATTATTGTAATTTAAAGTTAATTAACCTTGCTTATTCTATTATCCTTACTAACGATCGGCTTCTGGTTTATTTTTCCATTGCAGCTTTTTGTGCGCGCGACGCAATTAAATCGACAGCACTTGAAAGTATGCTACACAAATCTGTTTCAACTTGTTACTGCAAAAACAAAAGCAACAACCAGAGCAAAAGCACCAGTAGCCCTCCCACGCAACCGTTAATATTGACTGCATAGAGAGAGAGAGAGCCCTAGAACACTAGCAACTAGCAACAAACAGGAGTCGTAAAAAAAAAACAGGGCGAAAATAACAAAAATTAACAGGAAATCCAAAATCCAATTGGAATATATAGGAAACTTCTACAACAACAATACAACAACAAAACAGTAAAGGTAAGTGGAGTGGCCTTATCAGTGTGGGTGCCGAGTGGGGTGTTAGTTTCTCGCTCTGTACAGTGGTGGCTTGTAAAAATTAAATTAAAATTAGTAAAATTTATTAAAAAATTAAAATTATTTATGAAATATTTAAAATAACTCTAAAAGTCATTTCTGATCCATGTCTGACATTACTCTAGAGGTAATACTGTAATGAATCCTGTTTCTCTCTATATGTATGTGTGTGTGTTCTCCCTCTGTATGTGTGTGCGTGTGCATGATAAATGTACATCCAGTCTAGACAGTTGCAGGAGTCCCGGTCCCCTGTTTGAGGTCCTTGCCATATCGCATCCCTTTCGCATTCAAAACTCCCCCTTGGGCGCATTTTTCGGGGTTGATTTTGGTTTCATTTTCGCTATCCTTGCAAGTCCTGCGAGTCCTGCCCGGCTCTCTTTGCCTTTCACTTCAATTGCCTTTTACGTTGATTTTCTTGTTGACGGAAGTTTCAGAAGCCCCAGCTCTGGAAATCTAGAGAAGTTTCTCCTCCGGTACATGTATATTTTGTTATTTTTTTTGTTGTTGTTTACTTTCTGCGACAGGGGTTTGTTGTAGAAACTCCTGGTCGACCCCCGTACACCCAGCCCGGTCTTCTACATCTCCAACGAACCGCAAAGCGAACCAAAAAGGGGAGTTGGAATTATGATGAGGGAAGGGGGAGTTGGATGGCCGACACATTCCGTTTATTGCATTTGTGTCCGTCTCTGACAGGAGGAGGACGGTAGGACAGGGGATGGGGTCCCCTCCGGGCCAAGTTCTTTCATCCATCCGGAGTACAGCTTCCACCATTCTGGCGTAAGAAATTGGAATTGTGTTAAAAAGCATTCCGTGGGGGCGTGTTTCCTAGTTTGATTCGATTCCCAAACCAAGGGGGTGCAGGGCAGGGCAGGGGCAGGACGGGGGCAGGGCAGGGTAGGGGGATTACCTTTCAACTGTCTGTCTAGTCGAAGATGTTTAATAAAACACGGGTCACAGCTGTCGAGCTTTAGAGGATTAGGAGGCGACAGTGGGAGGAGGCAATTAACTACAAATTATGATAACAAAGGGGACAAGAGGGGATTGACCTTTGTATGTGTGTGTGTTTTGGGGGGTCGGGGGTCATGAAAATGCCAAAACGTTTGGGGTTCAAGTGGAGGAGTGGCTGAGTCATAAGGACACACAACAACCAAAAAAAGAGACAGGAATCCCAGGTGACTCATGGTCAGTCAACTCAGTAATAGGAGGTAGGAGGTAGGTCCTTCCAAAGGTCCTTCCAAAGGTCCTTCTCCTAAAATTTTTAGAAAAAAAACCAGTCACCACTGAACAGTACTTTTCTTAAAAAAAAAAAATATTATCCTTCAATTAATAATTAAAAACCTACCACCCTCCCACCTCCCATTTCGTCCTTTTCTCTTCTTCTTCATTGCAGCTGTTACTCCTAACGGTAAACGGAGCCAACGACGGCAATTACACAACAAAGATGGCGTCCTCGCCGACACCATCTCTGGACTCGATGCGGGGCGGGGCGAACTCCATTGAATCATACGAACACGCCGGCTACCTATCAGACTCCCCGCTCACGCTGAGCGGCTCATCGCCCCCGGCCAGCGATTCGGCAATCTGCAGTGATGAGTACACGGGCGGCAGCAGCGTCAAGTCGCGCTCGGAGGTGACGGTGATCAATGGCCATCATCCCATTTCGGCTTCGGTGTCGTCCAGCTCATCGGCCAGCTCCTCATCCTGCTCGTCCTCATCGTCATCGTCCTCGTCGTCCTCATCGTCGTCCAGCTCCTCCACCAGCGGCCTCAGCGGCTGTGGCAGCACCAGCAGCAGTGTGATCAGCGCCAACAATGTGACCAGCAACGGACCCGGCGTCATCGGCAGCAATCTCCAGGGATCATCCTCCAACAGTGGCAGCAACTCCGGCATCAGTAGTTTGGTGGTGGGTGCCGGCAAGGGGGTGAGCGGCGGCAGCAGCAGCTCCAGCTCCTCCAGCAACTCGTCGGCGATCGGTTCGCCGCCACGGTGCACCGCCTGCAAGAGCAAGTGCAGCGATGCGGTGGCCAAGTGCTTCGACTGTCAGAGCTATCTCTGCGCCAACTGTGTGACCGCCCACGAGTTCATGCACTGTTTCCACGGGCACAACGTCTGCCTGATCAAGGGATTCGAGGCCAGCACCGGCACTCCCCTGTCGGTGGGCTCTCCCAGCAGCAACCCGGGCTCGAGCGACAGCTTCAAGTACGCCAGCTCCCTGACCATGATGCTCCAGCAGCAGCAGCAGCTCGACTCCCAGCAACAGCAGCAGCAACTGTTGCCCTCGCAGCCCATGTCCCAGCTCTCCAAGATCGTGCTGGCAGCTGCCGCCCAGGCCAACAACCAGGAGCAGCAGCGGGAGGATAACCTCTTCGGGTCACTCCACCAGCAGCAGCAGCAGCAGCAACAACAGCAGCAACAACAACAACAGCAGCAGCAGCAGAGGGCAGCTCTTCTGCCCCCGACACAAGCAGGAGCTGCTGAAGTTCAGCTGTCGCACCTGCTGCGTCCTGGTGTGCAAGGAGTGCATCGTCCAGGAGCACTCTACCGGCCTGCACGAGCTGGAGAATGTCCAGTCCCCGGGACTGACCTCCTCGGCGGGATCCACGGCCAATGAGACGGCCCTGCAGACCCTGCTGGCCGATATGCGGGGCAAGATCGGTGAGATCGTGGCCATTGCCGGGAACTCGGAGCAGAACCTCACCAAGGTGAAGTTGCAGTACCAGAAGGCGCACAATGAGCTGAACGAGACGTACCAGTTCTTCGCCTCCATGCTGGACGAGCGCAAGACGGAGCTGCTCAAGGAGCTGGAGTCTGTGTACACGGCCAAGGTGAGCACCAACAGTGCGTGGCAGCAGCGGTCGCGCGAGCTGATCGACAAGGGTCTGACCACCTGCGAAGCGGTGGAGAGGAGCCCGGCTCCTCCCCCATCCCTGCTGGCCGAGGCCCTGCTCCTGCGCAAGTCCCTGGAGCAGCAGCTCCAGACGGGCATCCAGGACATGCAGCTGCCCTTCGAGATGGAGTTCATGTCCAACTACCAGTCGATTCAGGCCGGTGTCCGCAACACCTTCGGCTACATCCGGGCCAGCAGCTCCGATGGCGGCCACTCCAGCCTCAGCCTGACCAGCAACGGACACGGCAAGCAGCCGCCCATCGCCCGGCCCACCCAGAGCGCCAGCAACAGCAGCGCCAGCAGCGTCGGCAGTGGTCCCCATGGCCACCATCAGTCGCACAGCCACCACCAGAGTCATCTGCACCACCAGACATCCCAGCACCAGCAGCTGCAGGCGCAGTCCTCGCTCCACAGCCTCGGCCTGGGGCTCCTGGACAGCAGCTCCAACGGCGCCGGCTCGGGCGGAGCCTTCGGCAATGGCGGCGGTCTCCTGTTGAGCGGCCGCGAACGCAACGCCCTCGGCGTGGACCAGCACTTCGGGGAGCTCATTCCCAAGCGCGGAGGCGGTGGCTTCAGTAGCAGTAATGGTGCCGGCACCGTGGCCCACTACAATCCCTACGAGAAGTGGAGCAACGGCGGCAGCGACAATCTGTTCTCGTCGGTGACCGGCAGTGGAGCCGGCAGCTCCGCCGTGGTGGACGCCTTTGCCAGCCAGCTGTCCAGCCTGTCGTCCGTGGGAGGAACGGTGGTCAGTGGCGCCGGAGCGGGAGGCAATGCTGTGAGCTCAGAGTCACTGCTGGACCTCACCAACAAGCTGCTCTCGGCCACCATTTACCCGCCCAAGTCGCAGATCAAGCGCCAGAAGATGATCTACCACTGCAAGTTCGGGGAGTTCGGCGTGATGGAGGGCCAGTTCACGGAGCCCAGCGGTGTGGCGGTCAATGCCCAGAACGACATCATTGTGGCGGACACGAACAACCATCGCATCCAGATCTTCGACAAGGAGGGACGCTTCAAGTTCCAGTTCGGCGAGTGCGGCAAGCGGGACTCGCAGCTGTTGTACCCCAACCGGGTGGCCGTCGTCCGCAACTCCGGCGACATCATCGTGACGGAGCGATCACCGACACACCAGATCCAGATCTACAACCAGTACGGGCAGTTTGTACGGAAGTTTGGTGCCACCATCTTGCAGCATCCGCGCGGCGTCACCGTCGACAACAAGGGCCGGATCATCGTGGTGGAGTGCAAGGTGATGCGGGTGATCATCTTCGACCAGAACGGCAATGTGCTGCACAAGTTCGGGTGCTCAAAGCACCTGGAGTTCCCCAACGGTGTGGTGGTCAACGACAAGCAGGAGATCTTCATTAGCGACAATCGGGCGCACTGCGTCAAGGTGTTCAACTACGAGGGCCAGTATCTCCGCCAGATCGGCGGCGAGGGCATCACCAACTATCCGATCGGTGTCGGTATCAACTCGAACGGGGAGATCCTCATCGCGGACAACCACAACAACTTCAATCTGACCATCTTCACGCAGGACGGGCAGCTGATCTCGGCGCTCGAGTCGAAGGTGAAGCACGCCCAGTGCTTCGATGTGGCGCTCATGGACGACGGCAGTGTGGTGCTGGCCAGCAAGGACTACCGGCTATACATCTATCGCTATGTCCAACTGGCACCAGTGGGTATGTAAACATACAATACAGAATCAGATCAGAATACAGACACTCCACACTCCATGGATGGGAGTCCGGAACCGGAGGAGGAGGATCATCAGGTGATCGGGTGTCCGGCTCTCTCACCTCTCTGCTCTAAGCTAAGTTCTCTGAATAGTCTGACTTGCGCGGTCTCTCCAGCTCTAATTCTAAATCTAATTCTAATTCTAAAAACTAAAAACAAAAACTTAAAAACTAAAAACTAAATCTAAAAATCGAAATATGAAATTGAAAGAAAAAAAAGGATATTCCTAGCCTCCCCGCCCCCTTATCTCCGATCTGTCATCATCTCCCTATCTCTCTCTCTCTCATAGACTTAGACACACCCACACATACAAAGTACACACCCACACACACACGCACACTGTTGGAATGATTTTTTTATTATCTTTTAAATTATTGTTGAATTTTGTTTTATTTTTTTTTTTAATATATATATTTAAACTGTTAAGCTTAGTTTTTATTTTGTGCGTACTTGTTTATGATATAGATATGTCGATTCATGATCATGTCCAAATCGGATAGTGCTGCTGCCTCCCACCCCTACCCCTTCTCTCTCAGCACTAGGAATAGAGCACTCTTCAATACCCTAATTCTGAAACCCGCGTGCAAGTCTCTCTCTTTCTTACACTCTCTCTCTATCTCTTTCAAGCAAAATTACAAAACAAATGACAGTTTTTAACTTAAAAATAATAATAATAATAACCAGAAAGAAATCCCTCCACAGAAAGAAAGAAAAAATTAACAAAAATGATTAAAATATAGATTTAAAAAAAGATAACCGCTAGAGGACGCGTCTCGAGCATTAATTAATTAATAATTGATTGTAATTCTTAGACTTATGATTGCGAGAATTGTTTGTTATTATTTTTGATTACCTAAACATTTGATACATATATATTATATAACTGTTTTTTATGTTTATAATTATTTTTGATTGTACAACCTATTGATTACTGATTATTTATATGTATACATTAATTAATGAATTTTATCCACTAAGACATGTTTGCTACTTTTATACGAAAAACCGAACCGAACCCCCGATACACTAACAACAATTCACAAAAAAAAAACACAATTTTTATACTCGCTTAGTTTTTATTTTCTCCATTGTTTTATTTGTAATATTTTATAAACCGATTTAAACAAAAAATGAAGAAATTTAAGAACGTTTTTTTATATACATATATATTTTTTAAATAATAATGCAGACAAAAAAAACCCGACTTTGCCGTTTCTTACTACAAAACGCACTGAAAAATAGTTGAAATTTTTGTTCTTAATTGTTGAACTATTTTTGTTTATGCATTTATTTTTTAACATTTAATTCTTAATTTAAAAAAGCAGCAATAACGAATTTGTTATGTTGCCTGAAACTATTTTATATACTATTAAAAAAAAAACATTGATTTGTTGTCAAATTGAATTTAAAACAAAAAAAAAATTATTGAATACAATAAAAAAATGCGATATTTATGCACATCACACGAATGTTTTTAATTTCGAAATGAAATCTATTGAATTTGAGGGTGTGCATAAATTAGAAAAAAAATGATGATGATTACACTTAAAGAAATAACATTTAACTAAAAGTTGGCAATCAGCGCAGAAGACTTAAACAATTTATAACTATTATAATTATACAATAATATATATGTTTATGTCCCAACATACACATATATGTATTTATACGCTAAAATAATTGTAAACACTTAACGGAAAATCTCAAATAATTTAATAGTTATAAAATATAAAAATATAGATATGAAGAGAGAAAGGAACAAGGCAGACCATTCGCTTCTTAAATGTTTCATTCTTTGATATAGTAATTTTTTTTTAAATTAAAACCAACTATTGTAGCAGTGCAGTGTACAGTGCGCACTCCCTATAATGAGTGCCACTGTTTTTAGCTAGAGTTTGTTGCTTGCAATGATTTATATATTTAAAGCATTTATTTTATGCTAGACCTCAAATGATTGCTAGACTTCACGAAAGTGTTCTTTAAGGGCTAGAAGTTATATAATAAATTACAAACAAACAAAAAATAAATACTATTAAGGCAAGGAAACATAACTTTTTGAGACTACAAACGCAACATTAACAGGAACAGCATTTAAAAAATGTTTATTTTGTAATTTTTAAAATAATCACAATTTTTTTGTTGATTTTTTGCTTGGAGCGCGACCCCCGAACCCCATTTCATACCCTGTTGTCCCCCCAGTCGCCCCCACACACCATCCCCCACACATAAGCAGGTATTAGATTTCTTGAATATATACATATATATATATATATATGTATTTTTACTTTACTGTATTGTATTAAAACAAAAAACGTAGTATTTAACTATATTATAGTGCTTTTATTGTTTGTTTTGGAAAAACGCTTTGCTTTGTGTAATTTTTTTAATTTGGTTTTAATTTTTGATTTTTAAACTATATATTTAATTATGTTTTATGTGTATTTACTTAAGTGAGATTATTAAATATACGAGAATATATTTTGTAGTTCTTTCTTGTTGTAAACTTAATTGACTTTTGACTTATTGTATTTACGATCATAATGATGATGATGATGATGTATCGATGTAATGGTAGCTGTAATAATGATGATGCAACGGATGGGTTTGAACGAAAAAGTATTGTACGTTTTCTATGTGAGAGAAACACCTTTTTACTTGACAACCAAAAAATATGAAAAAAAAACCTATACACAAAAAAAAAAACAAAACAAAAACTGTTGAAAATTTTTTATATAAAAATTGTTGAAAAAAAAAAAACTAAACAAAAACCTAAAACACAAAAGAAACTGCTAATTGATGGTATTTATTATGGCCTAATGCATACTATTTAATTGTATTTATTATTAGCATTTTAGCTTGCACAAGCCGTTTTCTAAAAAAAAATGTACTTTTTTTGTATTTTGTGCTTGCATAAATTTGTTTTTATGTTTATCAACTATTATTATTATTATTACATACATAAATGTTATGCAAACAACAACAACAACAACTAAAACTCCAACAAGGACTTGCAAAAAACGGGACACAACAATTATGAATTATGAATGAATACATCTACCTACAAATAATATAAAAACTATATCGAAACAATAGCTAAGCATTGCCCTAGAAATCTGTTGTAAAAGTCTACACACACGAAACAAATGCCACAAACACCAACTGAGAAACAATTAAAGATTTTTATAAATATTCTGATAAAAAAAAAACAAAAACCTTATGCATTATTATTTATTTGATTTGTTTATTTTCTTTTCTAGCATTTTTGATTTATTTTTTAGAGTATTGGTTTGTACGAATGCGACGTTTGTTACTCCTCGATGCCGAATATCCTGCTTCCTTAGCTCCTAGTCCCCCCCTGTCACTATCCTTTCACTATCCTTTCTCCCTCTGTAGTAGTGGTAAACTATATTTAATCTTCATATTGATATATAAATGTGAAATGTGTATGTTGATAAAACAAATTGATGAATTGAGAATCTAATAGACTGTGCAACAACAAAAATAAGGAAAACCGAAAAGCATTTTTTTAAATATATATATTTCTATATATTTGGAAAATCGGTTAAGGTATTAAGGAATATACATATAACCGTAGGGTTATATACAAAACAATTAAATAACAGACAAAAAATGGTACTCATAAGGTTAATTGTGTAACTATAGCGCAGTGAGCTATCAAAACTAACTATATTAGCAGTTTTATTTCCGATATTCCAGATCGATATATACATAGAATATATATATATATGTAAACGATTTATACCGCCAATTAACTGTGCTCTACCCTCTATGTAACCAAATCAAAGCGTCAAAACTCTGACTATAGCTTTGGAATCTTGCTCGATATATAAACCGATTTATATGTATATGTTAACATTGCCGATATAGTATATGTAGTTGGGCATTTTGCGTGTATCGCCATTTTGTGATTAGGTTTTTTGAAGCAAAATCTCGTTTTACTCCAAAAATATAAGAAACAGGCGCCAAAAAAAGAACGAAAATGAAAATTCTAAAACGAAATTCAAAGAAAATTATGTAATTCCACCAAAAAAACAAAGACATTTTGGCATCAAAAATCATTACAAAATATTTTGAGTAGTACTAAGTGTAAGTGTTGTTTAATATAAATGGCAATGCATGCTAGTGTTGGAAAACACCACATATACATATATATATATTAATCATATTGCGATCGATTATTATTATTTGTGATTGTTAGGAGCTCTCTATGAATGTTGAACGGAATCGAAGCGAAATCGAATCGAAGCCAGTCCATCTAAGGACTGGTTTCTCTCTTTTTGGGGTTGGTTACGAGACTGTCAGGCACAAGTTACACAGAACAGACCTAGATGTTAGGCTATATAATATATATATACTATACAAGCATATAGGTGTATATATATATATATGTTTGTATGTCATATCTAAACCACAAAACCAAAAAAATCATTTTAATTGTAGTTTATATTTTTGATAAATGTTATTAAGGAACGGAACTAAAACGTAAATCAAAGTCATTTGTCCGCATTGTTAAGCATATTTGTACGAAATTTAAATTTTGTACTAGATCCGTGGCGGTTAGACATCCAATATCGACATTAAAAGGCAAAATAGCAGCGAACTAAATGAAGGAAAACCAAAACCAAAAACAAAAATTCAAACTGGCTTCGTAGAAGTGTTTTTAAGTATTATTAGACTATACATACCTAACGAAGAAAGCTCTCAACAAAATGCTTAAACCACTAAATTATTACGGATATTACATATAGCATCTAACTGAATAATCCACTGAGTGTGTGTGTCTAAGTTTCGACCAAAATCGATAGTAAGATCACATCTGTGGTTCTACTTTCGTGACTGGTTATTTTCTCTATGTAGGATTTTAATTCGTATAGTCCGTCAAGATGTTTTACCAGAGTAATATGGGAAATATAAATATTTAATATGCATGCTTGAGTAGTGTCTGTTTGAATGTATGTAATTCGTAACATTAGAATTAAAATTAAGCGATTCGTTCAGTGCCCTCTTATTATTTTCCTTTCTTTCTCATTAGACCTAAGAAATCTTTATTGAATAGAAAACGAACAGAGGAACAAGATCAATTCATTCATAAATCCTTTCTATTCATTTTTGTTTACGAACTTCACCGAACATTCACGTAGCAATCCAAACCACAACTAAAAACTAACATTAATTGATAAAAAAAAAAAAAAAAAAATACCAAACAAAATAATTAACTATGACTGATTTTATACACGAAAATTGAAAATGAAAATTTACACAACAAATTATACACATATACATACATACATATATATAAATATTTATATTTATAATGTTGCTACTATATAAAATAGAAATCAAGTTGAAGTTGAAGTCCTGGATCAAGTCCAGGACCTCTCCATCTGTAATACATTTTACACATTAGGCTATACTTCTGCTAAATAAGCTGTAACAATATATATAAATATATTTATGTGTGTGTTTAAACTTTAAAGGCAAGAATCTAACAATTTAGTAGTGAACTCAACAGTTTTTTAAACACTCGAAAACAACAAAATCTTAGACTGCTTCGAAAACGTAAACGTGACACTAAATATTAAAATCTAACATAAAAAAAAAACAAAACAAAAAAAACTCTTGTGAAATAAAATGAATATGATGAGACTCGTTTAGGGAATTTTTCTGAACAGAACTTTCCGTTTCCGCTTTTTTCTCCCTGCACTTGTTTAAAATATAAGAAACTATAACCAAAAAACTGACTTAAGCTGGAAACTGATTTTCACTCTTTACTGAACTAAAATCTCTAAACGCGCAAGGCAAACCAAAAAAAAAAGACAAACCAGAACAAGAAAAATAATATTTTCGCTAAGTTTTCTAGCTGCAAAATAAAATATTTATATACATCCGTAAATATAATCGAAAATTAATTCTAATATAAAAATATAAGACATATTAACTGTTTGTTGTTAGCTGCTTATTCTTCCTATTGAAGATTACCAAAAAAAAAGGACACACATTATTCATATCCCATGCATTTTTGTAATTTTTAAAAGCAAGGCAAGGAAAAATTAAAAAAAAAATATGAAAAAAATATAAGCTATTTAAGTTAAGCATTTTACGGCTATAGTTAATCGAACCTTAAATAAGAACCAAATGGGCAATGAAAAATGCAATAACTAAATAAGAAAAAACTCTTTTGTTGGCCTCTCATTTGAAAAGAAGTTTTATTAAAAGTGCTTTCGTCAGTAGAGTGAGGTTGCTAATTATACTTTTAAGTTTTACGTTTTTATTTTACCCATCTATTTAATAATTTTTATTTTTTATTTCTTACAGTAATGCACAAATTGCACAGCAACATCATTGACAAGAGCAACTTGGCAGACAGAATACAGCAACATTTCATTTAAGAAACTATAAACACACAACTTGCATATATCAATCACGAAACATTCCCCATTAACACTTGTATTATGTTGAATTTGTTGTTTGAAGGAAAAGATATGAAAAAACTAATAATGAGAGAAGTGGATTTTATAGAAATATGCAAGTTATCCAACCCGTAAAGAAACTTATGAGTTTTCAAGTCTTTATTTCAAGATTGAAATATCCTTTTTCAAGGCCTCACGTTGGCCGCCAATTATTCAATAAGTTGGTATTTTAATTTATCGAAAAAAACGATTATGGGTTCGATAACTTGCATTCATTTCAATGTATGGTAATGTAAAGGCATGGAAAGGTTTACGTTATGCAATTATTTTAAATCAATTTCGGGACTCAAAAAATTTTATAACTATTATTATATTTGCATCTAGTGTAAATGAGTCTCTACGGTCGAACCGCACACAATCTAACACAAAAACACATTAAACAAAAAAATTTAACGTTGCTAAATCATTTGAAATATGCATAAATGTTAGCTCATCTTAATCATAATCATGCATTCGATATAGATTTTAGTATTTATAAAGCTATATAGTGCAACTAAGCCGATCATGGAATCATCATCTAGTCATCATGCATACATATATGTATTTTTATAATTATTAATATTAAAAACGTAAAAAAAAAACAAGAAAAAAAATATTAAGTAAACGAAACCGAAAAGAACACCAATCTAATGTTAAATGTCGTTATAATTAAGTTTTCTTTATATACACATATATATTATGTTTTAGCTAACGATTTGAAAAATATTGTGTTTAAGAACTCATTTTTTAATGTCCCCCAGAAATACGAATTTTGAATTTCTCTACTAAAGCCAAGTTGAATTTGAAAATAAACATTGAAATAAAATAATAAGAACAAGAGTATACAGGGTGTTGCTTCAATGGCTTTTTTAAATATCATAGTCATATGAAAATGAATATTTTATCTTTTAAAATAATATGTTTTGTCTATGGTTAATTGTTTACACAATACGTTCAGTTACAACTCGTATATTTCGCTCAAATTTTGTTTTAAAGTTAAGAGAAAATCACAAAACCAAAAAAAATGTTAAAGAAAAGGACAAGAAAGTGAGGAAAAATATGGACTGACAAGCAAATAACGTATATCATTGAGGGTTGGCATTTTTAAACTTTACATATATAATATATATATATATTTAAATATATATAATACATGTAGACTTTGTCAGGCAAGCCATTCTCAGCTGTTTCGAACGAGGAAATTGTTAACATTTTTTTGTGTTGAAATGAAAAAGAAAATGAAAAATATATACACGCCCACCAAGTGCATACTATATGCTATTTACTGTTTCTAATATGCATACAAAGAATTAACCACAGTACATGAAAACAAAAACACTTAGAATTTGGTTATAGTTGGTAACTGACTCAACCTACTGCCAGGATCAGCTCAGCTCAGCTCCTCTTAGACACCCTGCATTCAGTCATCAGTCATCAGCCATTCAGTCTGTCATTCATCATCATTCACTCAATCAATCAATCATACCGATCCTACCCACGAATCAAGCACAGTTAGATCTAAATCCAATAACGCATTTAACTTGAATGTTTTTTATACTTTGAACTACGAGCAAGGTTTTTTTTATTCGTATTAAATTTGAACTCGATAAGAAAAAGAATGAACAAGAAAGCAAATAAAATTGTAATCATAATCGTAACTAAATCGAATACGATGTAATTGAATGTGAACGTTATTAACTCATTAACTATTATTATTAACTACGATTCCAACTGTATGCGCATTTTATATATACATATATAAAAACAATTAAGGCAAAGACAAGATTAAAACTCATTAATGTAATGTGTAAGCGATGAGAAGGTACTTACAGTAAATTAAATATAAATATTTTTATACATGTGGAAAAAATTGAACAAAAAAATTATGATAATTTATTAAACGCTGCAATTTGATAGAGTGACAAGTTCTGGAACACATGATATATGAATTTGATATAACAGATTTTGAATTCTACTAAAAAAAATCATAATTGAAGAAAAAACATCAAACAAGAACTTGAATAATAAAATGAAATGAAAGTCTTTTTAATGCTTAGGGGCCACAATTTTCGAAGTAATTAAAAAAAAATGAAGGAAAATGAAAAAACATGAAATTATTATTATACTACAATACGGTATTAATTAACATTTAAAAAATGTTGTGTAACATTAATATTAAACCAAACCAAACAACCAACAAGAACAACCAGCAACAACAATTGTATTGTAAGAATTTCTATTTCCATTAAAACACAATAAAATTATTTTGTTTTTAAATAAATAAATTGTTTTATTTGGCATATAATTGGGAAATTGTATGGGGTAGTGTTTTTAAACTCATTTAGATGGTTTTAATTTTGATTTCACAGAAAAGAAATTTTGATGACGACCCGCTGAAACATCTTGTCTAGTCCCTATCCAGAGGTCTCTTCTGTCCAGAATGCTTCCACAGAAGATCTCAGCAGCCTCAGGGATTGAAAAACATTAAAACACAATAAAATTATTTTGTTTTTAAATAAATAAATTGTTTTATTTGGAAAAAAATTGTATGGGTAGTTTAAACTTCTGATTGCTTAGAGAACGTATTTAGATGGTTTTAATTTTGATTTCACAGAATAGAAATTTTGATGACGACCCGCTGAAACATCCTGTCCAGCTTGAGAAGAGGTGATAATGATCACTGGAGTCCCTATCCAGAGGTTCTTGTTTTTCTGTCCAGGATGCTTCCACAGAAGATCTCAGCAGCCTCCGGGATTAAGGTACATCGTTGTGATAGGTGATGATATCACTGATGTTGATAATAAAGTTTCCCGGTTGGTGCGAGACTTCCGATCCATCAGCGGGTCTAGTTGTCCTAACAACATGGCCCGCAACCACAGCCAGGAACACATATTTTGCGGGTATAAGGTGTTGTAGCCGTGCCAGTCCAGCAATTGAAGCAAAAGTTGGTGCACTGGATGCTAGTGGGGAGATTGCAGCAGCCTCCGGGATTGCAGCACATCTTTGCGATCGGTAATGAGATCACTGTTGGCTGAATTTATTTCCCAGTTGGTGTGAGTCTCCCCGATCCAACAGAGAGCCTTGTTGTTCTAATAATAATATTAAAATTATTAATATTAATTTGAAAATGAATAAATAAATATTTCTTAAATACTCACCACAAAAAATATTTATTTTCAAAAGGTATTAGGTATTGAAAATATTTTAAAAATTTCTTATTTTGTTGTGTTCACATCAAGGCTCGGAGTCAGACTAAAGTTTCCAAATGAGAGTCGGCGTCAGGTTCCAAAATTTGAACAGAAAAAAATCCAAGGACTACTTGATAGAAATAAATTTTTAAATTTCATAATATTTCAATTGGTTTTGTTTTTGACCTACCAGTGTTTTTTTTTGCCTCCGCTCGTCATTAGGTGTTTGATTTTTGTTGTTGCCAAGTTACCAACAAGGACCGTAACAAGGCCCACAACAACCCGGCGATGGAAATACGGTGGTACAGGAAGGACCTCCGCATTGCGATCGCGGGCAACAGTAGCTACAATCGATCAAGCAGCACTGGACACAGGGAGTGGACCTGTAGTACCGACTTGGGCAACACATGGCGGCTGGGAAGATGGAAAATATCTTAGTGACCATTTGGATTTATTGCATTGGATACATCTGCTTTTATAAACTATTGATCTCAAAATATATTAAGATATTTCGCTCAAGATCTGGACATAAATTGGTCAAGATAGAGCCATAGCAGAGGCGTATTACCGTCCCTTTCATCGGGGTCCCATCAAAGGGGCCTCATCGGAAAATATAACAAAAATATTTTGGGTGTAGGTTTTGATGGGAATTGATAGAGAATCTATCTAAAATTCGGTAAATGTATTTCGCTCAAGAATCGGATGACTATTGGCAAAGATATAGCAATCGCTGTGGGCCATATTGTGCCCCCATGCATTTTAACCATTGTTGAAGGGGATCCTCTAGGAAATTTACCAAAAAATCTAAAAAATATTTTGTTTTCAGATTTTGATGCAGATTGAAAGGTAATTGACCACAAATCGTTTAAGGTATTCCGCTCAAGAATCGGATTACTATTGGCAAAGATATAGCTATCGCTGTGGGCCATATTGTGCCTCCATCTTCCTCCCCATTTTTGAAGGGGATCCTCTAGAAAATTTGACAAAAAATCTAAAAAATATTTTGTTTCTAGATTTTGATGCAGATTTAAAGGTAATTGGACCACAAGTCGTTTAAGGTATTCCGCTCAAGAATCGGATGACTATTGGCAAAGATATAGCCATCGCTGTGGGCCATATTGTGCCTCCATCTTCCTCCCCATTTTTGAAGGGAATCCTCTAGGAAATTTACCAAAAAATCTAAAAAATATTTTGATGCAGATTGAAAGGTAATTGACCCACAAATCGTTTAAGGTATTCCGCTCAAGAATCGGATTACTATTGGCAAAGATATAGCTATCGCTGTGGGCCATATTGTGCCTTCATGCATTTTTCCCATTTCGGAGGGGGATCCTCTAGGAAATTAGACAAAAAATCTATAAAATATTTTGCCAGTAGGTTTTAATGGGGATTGATAAAGAATATATCTACAAATCGTATGTACAAGATATTCCGCTTGAGAAACGGACGTAAAGGCCCTTCTCATAGTTTCCCCCAGTTTTCGAAAGGGAAAACATATTAGTTTATACAAGGAAGCAGGACTTTTCATGGGGTATTGAAATAAATTTAACAAATAAATTTAAGGCAATTTGATTTTAAAATTTTTGAATTTAATAAAAAGTAAAAAAGCTTACCGAAGAATTATTTTTGGAGAACAAACAACAACTACACCTTACGTGTTAAAATTTGGATGACAACTGAAATACATTTCGGATTTCATTGGCAGGGTAATAAATTTAAACCCAAAGCCTCCTTGGATTATGTTCCTTGGATTTTGTTCAAATTTTATAAGGCAAATTTAGCCTAAAAAATTAAAAAGAAAACTAGCTTCAGGTATTGTATATAAATATTTATTAAAAATAAATATATAGTTATCTCAAAAAATAAAACAAAAATAGATTTCTTGTTATAGGCATTTGTTTCTTTTATTCCAATGAAGTTTACATGCAAAGTTGGTTTTTCGAATTAAGGTTCAGTTTTAAAATGGTATTATTGCAGCAGTTGTTTCAGCCTATTTGAGTGGATGTATCGTCCTAGCAGCATGGTCCGCATGGGCCACATGGGTAACAGGTGCACTGGAGGTATGCAGGAGTGCAAGGAACGCAGCATACTTCAACGCAGCAGCATTCGCACGAGCACGGGGCACAGCTCTTGGGTCCACAGGGTCCGCAGCACATGTTCTTAATAAAGGTATAACCTTTAGAAAACATATAACAATTATGAGCAGAGGATACTTACGATTTTTTTAAATGGTACCAAGGGATTCTCAAAGCGTTGGGTATGTTTCCTTAAATTCTAAAAACTCACTTGCAGTGCGAATATTTTACAACCAAATAATTTTGTAATGTTTAACAAAAAAGTTGTAACGAGATGTTAACACATGGAATTTTGGGAAACAAATGTGAGGATATCTAGAATATTTTCAGGCAAGTCAACAGAAAATAATCCATGGACTACTTTGTTACCAGTTTTTAAAAATTGGGTTTTAGGCTTGGGTAATTTGTAATTATTTTTTTAAAACTACAAACTAAAAACTTAACTTAAATAAATTCAAAATGTATCCTTTTCCTGCAACTTTTTCTCATAAAAATTAACAAAAAAAATAAATAAATAAAAAGATGGCCATTTCATTAACAATAATAATAAAAAAAACTCTAAGCCCGACCCTTGGAACCATCGATACGTGGACTCCACTGGCGATAATCGACTTGAGTGGCCGCCTCATACTCCTGCACTAGACAATCAACTGTTTCCCGAGCAAGATCTAGTTCCGTTAGATCATCCTTGAACATGGATTCGCGCCGAAAATTGTCCAGAAAAGCGTTACGCTTCCTTAGCTTATCGTACTGGGCCAGAGCGCGGCTGAAGAGGGCACTGATGCCCGTGTGATTGGCCATCATCAAGCCGGAAACTTTGTGGGAGGATTGCACGTACGGCGAGCTCCGCGACAATGCCACCTGGATGCTGGCTGGGCCCCAGGGTATGAAGTTGGCCAGCTTGCGCTCCCGAATGCGCTGCAACGACTTGTGTACCTGGGACGGATCCACCTCGCCCTGGATGATGTTCAAAATGGATACAAAGCAGTGACGACTGTGCTTGTCCCCCGTCGCCGACACCATCATATTCTTTGGCTGCAACAGGCGCCGCATTACGTCCAGAACTGTGGTTTTTCGGACATTCGTTTTGGTCTGGAGGCAAAGATAAAAATGTTAGAAACTGCTAGATGTATGGAATAAGCCAACTCACTTCCTGGTCTGTGAGGAGTGGAGTGTACCCCGTCATCAGAAAGTGTAATTGGGGAGTCGGAATCAAGGGTGCCGTCAGTCCAATAAGGTTGTTGTTCATATAAGAGGGATACCTCAACGTGGTGGTGCTCACGCTCATTATGGTGGACACCAGATTGTTGATTTGCGTGAAAGTGGGCGTTTGAATGTGAAGCCTTTCGGTGGCGATACGATTCAGAGCGGTGTTATCCAGCACCACAACACTGTCGGCACACTTGGTGAGACGTTTCAGCGTAAGGATGGAGTTATAGGGCTGGACAACCACGTCACTGATCTCGTCGTGGTTCGGAAACACGCTGTACGTTTGGATGAGCTTCTTGGGAAATCGGTCCGCTAGCCGTTCTAGCACATACGATCCCATACCAGATCCAGTGCCACCGGCAATGGAGTGGCAGAGTACGAACCCCTCCAGGGAGTCGCTGCCATCAGCTTCTCTATCCAGGATGTCGAAGACCTCCTCTTGGAAACGTTCACCCTGGCTGAAGCCGGAGGCCCAGTTGTTGCCGGCGCCACCGCCATGCTTTGAAAGGAACACATTCTCCGGATTATAGAGCTATTTGGGGTTGTAGAATCATGAAGAATTGAAATATATTTAGGATTTTTATCTTTCACCTTTGCATACGGCGAAGTCATAATGCTCTGGATCACTCGCGGCTCTAAATCAAGGAGCACGGCCCGGGGAATGTAGTGATTATCGTCTGCTTGGTAAAAGAACACATCCTTGCGATCCTGGCCATCGGTGGCAAAGTCCTCCAACACCCCTTCGGGAGAAATGCCGTGTTCTAGGCACAATCTCTTCCAGAACTCGAAACCAACTGCATCGTAAAGTAATTTAGCTATTTGAAGTGCTAATATATACAAAACTCACTCTGATTTCCACATTGGCCCAATTGTAAAGTAATTATTTCGCTTGGCATTTTTTGGCTTTTAATTGAGCTTTTTTTCCCATTCAAATAACTGTTCTAAACGCGGATAGAGATGCTCGAAGATCGATAGCTAAAGATCGATAGGCTTAAGAATAAAATTAAATTCGTCGATGTGACGTATAAAAAATCTTTATAATTTTAATTTTGATTGTTCTCAAGTTCTATTCATTAAACAAAACTAATGTTGCTACAAATTTTGTGAAATTTAAGCGGCTTTGGTTTGCAAGGACATGAGTCACCCTTTGAATGTGGCGTTGCCACATCAGTCTAAAAATTAAAAGTACCATCACTAGATATCTTCAACTAACGATTCCAGCTGACTTCTTTCTACTTTTATATTTAAGAACTGGAAAAAATCGAAGAATAAGATTCCAGAGCTCTTCAAGAACAAGGATTAACTACAAATTAAATAAATATCCTTCAATCGTTGTTAATATACTCCCAAAAAGGCGGAAAATAGTCCCATATTACCAAGAAGTATTAGTAACGACTTCTGATAAATGGTATTTTGAAAACTATCAAAACCAAAATGCTGCGCCAGGAAAACTTGGCTGCCAACTTCTGTGGTCTGCTCGCCACCCAGGGATACACAGGTAAACCAAATATATTAAAGAATCTATTTAGAAATAAAAAAAATCTCTTTATGAGCAGAAAAGGCAAACGAATGGAGAATTCTGGGCCAGGAACAGGATGGCTCCCTGCTCACCTCGTGGGTTTTTGAGTACTTGGGCGAGGATCAACGGAAGGAGACTTGCATCGGCCATTTCCATGCTACTAAGAAGCAGCTCCGCCTGCTCTGGACTCTGCCCAAATGCTGTGAGATTGTCCAGGCCAGCATTAATAGCAGTGTGACACTGCTGTCCTTTGTGGAGAAAACGGAGGGCAAGTTCTATCAGGCTTTTGTGGTAGAAGTGCGTAGCTCTGAGGGCGGAACGGCCACACCCCTTAATCCAGAGCCCACCTCCCGTCAGACGATGACGCAGTTTTTGTGGCGTGGAGAGAGTGCCACGCGTACCTGCTGGCAGGATAAGTTACTGGTGCTAACTCATGAGGAGTGTAAGTGTCTGGATTGTTTTTTGGTGAAATAAGCTTGTAAAGTATTTAAATTATTATTATAGCCATTAAACAGTACACCTGCGTGGTGAAGCAGAGCTCCACGACTTCACAAACGGAAGGCAGCGCCTGGCGATTGGATACCAGCATACTCACTTACGAAACCCTGGCCAAGAACTTTAGCTGGGCGCAGTGGGACGCAGAAGCACAGGCCCTGTACTATATTCATCTAAAGCCAAAGGCCAAGAGCCTTAGTCTCTTGGACGAACGGGAGGAAGCTGGGGAACCGGCAAAGCCCATACTCAGCCCCACTCTGTCAGCTTTTCAGTTTAATGAGAAGCAGCCTACTGAAACGGTGGTATGTATTTGTTTCAGATTTAATATAACTTCTTTTACATGATTTTCTGTTCTTTTAGCTTAATATACCTCTCAACTTGCCAAAGTTGCCCAACGGCTCTAAGGAGGAAACCCCTAGCTATGATGACGACGCGGTCCCATTGCGTGTCCATGACAGCTCCTTGAATCTCATTATTCTGGCGGACAGTTCGGGCATGTTCTTCGTATGCCACTACTACCTTTACCAGCCCATGCAGTCGGAGCAGAAGGGCGTGCACTTTGCCTACTCGGTGACCCTGCTGCACCATGGCTGCGTGGTCCACTGCGTCATGCCTGGAGTCCCTTGGACCAAAGCTCGTCTGCTGAGGCCCACATTTGCATTGCATGGCCAACACCATTTGTTGGTATCGTCAGCGTTTTTTGTGCATCTACTGGATGTGGGGCTGCAGCACGAACCCATTTGCCATATAGTGTGTGCTGCCCACAACCGAAGCCCTGATCTAACGCAGCTGGTTCCATTGAGGAAGTGGGGATCTCTGGCCTACGATGCGGCCACCTTGGACCTGGTCTCGTTGACAGTGTCTAAGTCACATTTGATTGAGGCTTTCCGAAGCGATAACTCTTTGGATAACAGGATCAGTATTATTCACTACTTCCTGCTGCATTCCAACGACATGGACGTACTGGCCGAGCTGTTGAATAGCATCCTGGAAAGGCCACTCTCTCTGGACACCGTGGCTCTGCTTAAGGAGGCTCTCGTGGCGGGAAGTTATGCGGCTGCGGTTCGTGGATTACCGGATGATGCAAAATCCCTAATGAGGCTACTGCCCTTGACCACCGCAATAGCTTCGCGACCAATCCATGCCCGAGTGGCTGATATCAGTGTGGGGCTTTCGCACGAAACCCTGCATAATACCAGCATGATGCTCCTGTCGCCGCAGCAGCGTCTCTCTCCATACCGCACGGACATTTGGACCAGGTTGTGGGACCTGCTTAACGAGTCCTCCAAGCAGGAGCAGCCACGATTCAGCGCCGAGCAGGTCACCGAAAAGTTGATCTTCAGTCTAGCCTGTTATCAGCCGGAGGCTCTTTCCCGCTGTACCACACCACTTTCACCAGATGCTGGTACTGGCGGCGGTTTCGGGGACTATAGCAGTGGCAGTGCTTTTCCTTTCAGCAACGAGGTCCTGCCCTTCCTCGAACTAGAGGGCTGCACTGCCAGCAAGCAGGAGCATGTCATCTCGGTGGTTAGTACTTGAGATTATTGAAGTTTTCTAAGATGTGATCGTTTTTAAACTTTTCCAACAGTACCTGCGAGAGTTGAGCGTCCATTTAGTGAAGCATTCTTCAAAACCCAACACTGGGTTTCGTTGGCTGAAGGAGACTTTCTTCGAGCGCTCCCAGGCTCCGGCTCATGTCCATGCTGTGGCCTCCCAGTTCGTTTCTGCCCAGTTGGAACTGTCCCGGGCTCTTTGCTCTCTGGTGTGCAGAGCTGCCGGACTTGATGCTCGCCTGGAGATTCTGCGAGGCTTCCAATTAATGTGGGTTTATATTTAGAGCTAATCTTGCAAAGCATTTGGGCTCATGTTATTATAATTGCAGTGACAAAATGGCCGCCAATCAGCAGCATACACTTTTCCTGATCTTGGAGCGCTATTGCTTGGCCGTGGAGTCCATTGCCTTTCCGTTGCCCGAAGGGTTCTCTTCGTTCTTCACATACTTGGGCTATAGGTCCCTGAGCTTTGATATGTTTCTGCAGTATGTGGAAAATCACGTTTTTGAGCTGCAGGTGGATGTAATGAAAGCTATTGTTTATGGTTAGTCTTTTAATCCTCAACTTATGAGAGCCTAATAACTGTGACCCTGTTTCCCTGTAGATATCGAGGACACTCCACTGGGAACGGAACGAAAACTTTCGCTTTTATCGGCTCTCCCCAAGCAGCGGGCTCAGCGCCTTTTGAAATGCTGGCAACATCCGGATAGCTTGATGATTCGTGGTCGGGAGCATGCGACAAACATTCTTTCGGGCCAGCAGCAGGAATCCTCGCATCAGCAGAGACCCACGACGACCATCAATCAATCGCGAAACAATGCTCGGAGTGGTGAGGCTTAAACTTCTACAAATGATTACACTTTTCATTTTCACACCGCACACATCTCATTCAGCTTTGGGAAAGACAAACACAATGGTCTGTCATTCGTTGCTTTTAGTTTTTCTGGTTATTATTGTAACCACAGCTGCCCTGAGCATATCGAGCTTCTTGCTCCGCCAACGTCCGCACACTTGGTAGCCCCCATACCCCACGGTTGACTGGTAAGCAACGCTGATCAGTGTTTGCCCGTCCTTGTCTCATATGCACAGCTTGTTTCTTTTTATTGTGGAATAAATTGAGTTCTATATCAGATACTAATAAATATTTTCAATTTCTAGATTTAACTGCTGAAGCCCTAACTCCTTTGGACTCTTTTCTGGATCTGTTGACGGCCAAGGCCAGTTTGAACGAGTTGGATTATAATCTGCTTATAGAAACTACTCTGAGCTCCATTGAGCAGCTAAAAGTGGAGAATTAATGTGCTTGTACTTAGTATAAAATAAGTATTAAATGTAATAATTCGTATTACTTAAAGGCCAAAGTATAGTGTCAAAATATCAACCATTCCGGTTAGATTCTGTAAGGAAAGGTATATAATTTATTAGGTATATTATATTATTTGTTTTGTGTGTCAAAGACTTGTTTACATGTGCAGCTTGTATTTTTAATTTGTTAAATGTTAAATGCTTAATTTACATTCCATGTTAATGTAATTCGAGGGATAAATGTATGTAATTTATTTATTTATTTATTTGTGGAACAATATATCTATATGGCTATATGGCTGACCATTCACTGAATAAATCAAGTGTTTTTTTTTGGCTGGGTGCTGTTCATTATATCATATCCTCCTGTGGCAACAAAAAAACACTATTGATATGAACTTAATTATTCGTGTCATTTTAAAATTATATATTTAAAAATTATATATAATCTTTATAATAGGTTAGTTGTTTGTTCTGCTAAAAATGCTCCAATTTTGTCCATTATTTTGAACATTTCCAGTTCAAAATAAGCAGTATTATGCAGTTGTCGACATTTTTCCTACCTTTGGGAGTAATATTCTATATCGTATTCTGCGTAATTTTCTTAAATTTTATTTGTTTTTACAATTAAACGTGTAATCTTTACAGAATGCTGTTGTCTTCAAGTTTTCGAATTTTGTGTGCAAAAGTCACAACGAATCGTGGTTTATTTTCCACAACTGCCGTCTGAAAGCTGTCAGTAGAGAAAGAATTCTTCTCAATATGAACGGGACTATACTGCATGAGGCCCGTAGTATTCAACTGCATATCAAGATTTGGAAAAAGGCCAATGGATTTAAGCCCTTTCTGCTGGACTCTACCATTGATGCGTGCCGATTTTTGAAATCTTCCTATGATCCGTTTGCAAAAATAGTCTATAATATCTTCAAGGACTTTTCAAATATTAATCACACCTGTCCGTATGTGGTATGATTAGTATTGAACCAAAAATTTGATGATTCTTATAATTTACTATCAACTACAGGGACCGCAAATCGTCACGGACTTTTACCTCAGACCGGAACTATTACTCTTGCCCTTTCCCTCAGGCGAGTTTTTGCTGTCCATGCAGTGGTTTTTCTATAAGAAACCCCAGTTCGATACGAATGTTACTTTCATCTTCATGGAGGACCTGTTGAAAAGAAACTAGGAGTACTATTTTAAATAATTTAAGCGTGTGCATATATGCCGGATATGATTTAGTAGTTTTTTTAATTAAAGTGCTATTTTAAGCGTGAACATTCACAGTAATATTTATATTTTATTGTGGAACCATTAAAAATCAATAACGTTTTATAATAATGGGAGAGTTGATTTCTTATCTGTCATTGAATTCATCGGAAGCCACTCCCTATGAAATAAAATTTTGCATTTCCAATTATTTCGCAATAAACCAAAAACAGTGTTTTTGGGGCAGTACCATGAACTTGGCCAATAGACTTTATATTCTCGGGATTTTTCTGGTTATTCCCTTAGTAGTTAAGGTAAGAATAAGCTTCTATTTAAGTTTTCCAATGATTTCTGATAAACTTACATTGAATCCTGGAAAAATTTATAGTACTTCTAGAATCTAGATTAAAGATGCTGGCAGACTGTATCTTAATACCCTCCTCCAAGATGATCCACGATGTTCGGCGATTAAACCATTAATGTTAAAAATACTGTCTATCTTTTAGAAATATGTAAATGGGTTATTAACTGCACACTTTATTAATTATACTCATAGTTTATTTTATCAGTTTTCTAAATCGCATTTAGTATATGTTTTATAAGCTATTAGTGCTTTACATTAGCTCCCATTTATGCTCCAAATATTCAATTACTGCGATGTAAATTCATAAATGATTTCGTTATAATTGCTGGGCAATTAATTTTATAAAACTGGGAATACTGGCCTTAGGGCTTTACTTATTTTAATTTCAATCATTTTAAAGTCAACCGTAATCCAAGCAGGAATATGCACTCTTCGATTGTGTTTCCATATTTTTGGATAATCATCTTTGTTTATATCGGCGACATTGTAATCTTGGTAAATATAAATTAAGAATTTATTAAAAGAAACAAACTTTGCAGGAAGCGGAAGTCTTCAGGTTCTCGAATGTCGTATGCCATAGCTATAACGAGTCCTGGGTCCTGTTCGACACTTGTCGCTTAAAAGCCGTCAGCAGGGAGAGGGTTTTACTTAATATTAAAACGAATATTTTACATCCGACTAATGATATTAAGCTTCATGTCAAGATGTGGAAAAAGGCTAGTGGCTTTAAGCCATGGTTACTGGACTCCACCGTTGATTGCTGCCGATATATGAAGAAGTCCTACAACCCTTTTGCCAACATAGTCTTCAACATCTACAAGGACTTTTCCAACTTAAATCACTCCTGTCCGTACGTGGTAGGTTTCTATTAAAAAACCAGAGACTTGACCATTATTATTTTATTTTAACAGGGCTTACAAATTGTGAAGGACTTTTACCTTCGATCTGAACTCCTTCGATTGCCAATACCTTCTGGGGAATATTTGATATCGATGCAGTGGTTTTTCTATAAAATGCTACAGTTTGACACCAACGTTACTTTTCTTTATTTGGAGGATCTTATTAAAAGATATTAGTGCCTCTATATGTAAAATTGCTAAATCATAAATCTCATAAAATTTTCTCCAGGATTTACTTGTTGCACGATCCTTGCTTTTTCGATTATTTTAATTCACACTTACTATTCAGCACGATTACTACTCAGCACGATAGACATCAAGTTGTTTTCTTCTTTTGAAATATTGAATAATAAAATCTAGAAGAATCTTTGACAATGGTCATCCGATGTCCTTTCAATCTGCATCAAAATCTGGAAACAAAATATTTTTTAGATTTTTTGTCAAATTTTCTGGAGGATGCCCTTCATTTCATAAATGGGGAAAATGCGCGGAGGCACAATATGGCCCACAGCGATGGCTATATCTTTGCCAATAGTCATATGATTCTTGAGCCGAATACCTTAAACGATTTGTGGTCCAATTACCTTTCAATCCTCATAAAAATCTAGAGTCAAAATATTTTTTAGATTTTTTGTAAAATTTTCTGGAGGATACCCTTCAAAAATGGGGAAAATGCATAGAGGCACAATATGGCCCACAGCGATGGCTATTTCTTTGCCAATAGTCATCCGATTCTTGAGTGGAATACCTTAAACGATTTGTGGTCCAATTACCTTTAAATCTGCATCAAAATCTAGAAACAAACATTTTTTTTTGAATTTGGAAAAATTTGACCCCCTTTGGAAAATGAGAAAGCCCTGAAGACAAGTGACCCTCCGTAGGGGCTCTAACTTCGCTAATTCATGTACGATTCTTAAATTTTATATCTCAAATTATTTATATTTAAGTTTCCTATCAAAACACTAGCTTCAAAATTTGATAACATCCTTAAGATAGTTATTTTTCCAATTTGTTGACGTCCTTTCGAAGCCTAAATAAATTATAAGCCTAAATAAATAATAAAGTAAATTATGCATATAAATGCACCTCTTACACCTATTACAATATATAATAATAGATGGTGCACCTCTATATATAGGTATAATAGGTGGTGCACCTCTATATATACATAGGTATTATATATATATATTATATATAGGTATATTATATATATATTATATATATATTATATGCACCTATTATATATAATGCACCTCTTATACGTAGTAATTCGATATATTTCGTTTGACTATTTGCGTTGGTAATGCGTAATTATTATCGTCTAATTTTCAGTATATTAGCTAATCGAAATGACAATTAACTCATACTTACCAACTGAATTTTTGTGATTGTTAGCTGGAGTTTCATTTTCTTCAGTCATTTTACAATAAACCGGGAGCTAAAGTAGGAATATGAAATTTTCGGTTGTGATTAACCTTTTTTGGATAAATATTTTCTATTCTACATTCAAAAATGTAAATTGGTTAATAAGATTTAGACTAGTAACTCTTATAATTGAACAAATGCACAGGAAGCGGTTGTCTTCAAGTTTTCAAATCTCGTCTGCAAAAGTTACAACGAATCTTGGGTAATTTTTAACAACTGCCGCCTAAAAGCTGTCAGCAGGGAGAGGATATTACTTAATGCGAATGCTACTCTTGTATATCCGACTAACGATATTGGACTTCATATAAAGATGTGGAAAAAAGAAAGTGGCTTTAAGCCATGGTTACTGGACTCTACCATCGACTGTTGCCGATTTATGAAAAAGACCTACAATCCTTTTGCCAATATAGTCTTCAATATCTACAAGGAGTTTTCCAACTTTAACCACACCTGTCCATACGAGGTAAGTTATTTCTATAAATATTAAAGACTTTAACACAGTTCATATTTCCAGGGCATACAAGTTGTTAAGGACTTTTACCTTCGATCGGAACTCCTTCGACTGCCGATACCGTCCGGGGAATATATGCTCTCAATGAATTGGTATTTCTACAAAAATCTGCAGGCCAATACAAATATTACCTTTGTCTTTTTGGAAGATCTTATAAATAGAGATTAGCGTCGGTTTTTAGATTATTTCCGAAAGAAACGATTTATAAAGTTGTCTCAGGACACTTAATCTTATCTTTTCATGGTCTTTTTTATTTCTCTTGTTTTTTATTTAACCGATTTGTTACAACTTGATGGCTCGGATTGCAGAAACTACAATGGCAAAGGTTATTAACATAAAATTTATAAATAGGTACTCTTTAGATTGTTTTTAATTATTTATAATCTTTTTCATCACTATTACCAATAATTAATTTTTGATTCATGAATAACGACAGCGTTTTCCAATGGCTGAGCGAATTAATTTTAGGCAATGGATATTCTTTTATATTTCGTAACTTTTGCCATTTTAAATCATTTTAAAATCAACTGCGAGCTTCGTTTTATAAATATCTAAATGTCTAAGGCTAAACTGTTTAATTTTTTTGCGACACTTTTGATTTTTTCCATCACTTTTAATGTGAGTTTGGAATAAATAATATTTTATTGTTCTAATATTTGATTTTTTAAGGATGCGATTGTCTTTAAGTTTTCGAATGCCGTCTGCAAAAGTTACAACGAGTCTTGGGTGGTTTTTAATAAATGCAGACTTAAAGCCATCAGTAGGGATAAAATAGTGCTCAATGTTTATACAATGGTCCTCTATCCGTCCAGTAGTATCGATGTCCGTCTCAAGTTGTGGAAAAGGGAGAGTGGATTTAAGCCATTTTTGCTGGATTCCACGGTCGATGCCTGTCGATTTATGAAGAAGGCCTACAATCCGTTTGTGGGCTTGGTCTATACGATATTCCGTGATTTTTCAAATCTAAATCATTCCTGTCCGTATGTGGTGAGTTTACTTTAGTTTTTTTTTAAAGGGAATAATATTTGTATTATTGCTAATCTTTATTAGGGCCTTCAAATTGTCAAGGACTTTTACTTACGCCCTGAACTGGTACGATTGCCCTTTCCTTCTGGGGAGTATTTATTGTCGATGCAGTGGTATTTCTATAAAAGGATCCAGTTTGACATTAATGTGACCTATGTCTACTTGGAAGATCTTTTACATAGAACCTGAAGTCAAAACAATATTTTATAAAATCCAAATATATAGTTTATTTAATTGTTCGTATTCAAATTTTAAATAAATAAAAGCTAATATAGAACACCTGTATATTAAAACCTCATCGTTGTAATGCAGACCTTACCAACTTTTGCTCTTGTTGGAACCACAAACCATGATTGATTTATTATTATACCCTTGCAGAGGGTATTATAATTTTGTCCAAAAGTGTGCAACGCAGTGAAGGAGACATCTCCGACCCTATAAAGTATATATATTCTTGATCAGGATCACCTCCTAAGTTGATATGAGCATGTCCGTCTGTCCGTCTGTCCGTCTGTCCGTCTGTCCGTCTGTCCGTCTGTCCGTCTGTCTGTCTGTCTGTTTCTACGCGAACTAGTCTCTCAGTTTTAAAGCTATCGACTTGAAACTTTGCACACACCCTTCTTTCCTTTGCACGCAGTATATAAGTCGGAACGGCCCGGATCGGCCGACTATATCCTATAGCTGCCATATAACTGATTGATCGGAAATGGTATAACTTCGGTGTTTTTAGAGTTAGAGAGTTCAAATTTCATATGAGAGCTATTTTTGGCAAAATAATATGACATGCCAAATTTCATAAGGATCGGCCGACTATATCCTATAGCTGCCATATAACTGAACGATCGGAAATGACCCAACTTTCGTGTTTTTGATGATAGAAAGCTGGCACTTGGTACACATTCTATTTTTGGTCAGTTAATCCGACCTACAAAGTTTCATTAGGATCGGTTGACTATATCTTATAGCTGACATATAACTGAACGATCGGAAATGGTATTTGGTAGAAATATTAAATTTCGTATTTTTGAAGATAGAAGCTTGGGACTTTTTTTTAGATTTTTTATTGTAATTAATTGGTTTTATTATGATGTAATCATAAGGATCGGCCAACTATATCCGATGTTTGCGCTATATATTCGGTTTTAGCTGCAAGGGTATATCAACTTCGGCTCCGCCCGAAGTTAGCTTTGCTTTCTTGTTTTTAATGTTTAATTCACCGAGATAATGTAAATTTGATAATAACGACATTATAATCACAGTCAATTATTAGTTCCTATTGAAAATCTCTTCTCCAAACTATAATTTGGTTACTTCTAGTCATTTTTAAATCGACCGCGCGATCAGAAGTGTCATGCAGCTTCGAACTTTTTTTCAACTTGCTGGGTCAATTTTAATTTTTTGTATTGTTTTCAATGTAAGTTTGATAATTTTATTTTTAGTTATTTATAAAGCTAATTAATGCATTAATTTGACAGAATGCGGTGGACTTTAAGTTTTCTAATTTCGTGTGTAAAAGTTACAACGAATCTTGGGTCATTTTCCACAACTGCCGCCTTAAAGCCGTCAGCAGGGAAAGAAATATCCTCAATATGAATGCGACAATACTGCATCCGGTTAATGAAATTTCAGTGCGTGTTAAGGTATGGAAAAGAGCTTCTGGGTTCAAGCCCTTTTTAATGGACACTACCATCGATGCTTGTCGTTTTGTGAAATCATCCTACGATCCTGTTGGCAAAATAATCTACAATATCTTCAAGGACTTTTCGAATATTAATCACACTTGTCCTTATGTGGTAAGTTGTTTAAAAGAAATAAAACTAAGTCTCTTAATTTATTTTTTTCAGGGACCACAAATTGTAAAGGATTTTTACCTCCGATCTGAACTTTTACGGCTGCCCTTTCCTTCGGGAGATTATTTGCTATCGATGCAGTGGTACTTCTACAAAAGACTCGTGTTTGATACGAATGTTACTTATATTTTTATGGAGGATCTATTGAAACGAACCTAGGATCATAATATACTTTTTGAATGCATGGAACTAATCTGAAAAAATTATTATTTTTTAATTATTAAATATTTTGAAGAGGTTACAGTCCACATTTTCCCCTCTCGAACAGAACCCGCACCACGGATGAAACTGTTATACCAAACATGAGTTCCACTTCTTTGTGGTTCGTATGTACTTATTAAACAAAAAATAAACAGAAAATACGAAGTTTGTTCGGGTTCCGAACACAAAACCATTCGGGTGGGTTGCATTTCATGTGGATTCCAAGATAAGAGTTTAAGGTTTTTTATAAATTTTATTAAATTTACAAAATCAGTAACTAGATATTTTGTTAATTTATAATTTTTATTATTTTTAAATTTAAGAATTGGTAGAGGGTTCTTAGAGCTCGAAGAGAGCCCTTGGTAATAATTCCAATTCGGCATCTGGTCACACTGCATAGCTTCCACACTTCCGCGCCGGGTAATTTGAACGTGCTGGGTTATCCAGCTGCCATTCATTGGAAAATCGTCACGGTGCGCGCATCAGCGGGAAATCGTCGCGGAAAACTCTTCGAGTGTCCGAGGAAAGCGTGGAAAATCGGGTGGAGATAGCCCGAGTGCATGTTGCCATTTCGTATTCGATTCGATTTCCTTCCGAATTGGAAATTATGTGCGCTTGAGATTTTTTCGGCCAAAAGGCACTGTGCCAAATGCTCTGACAAATAATCCTCGTAATAATCTGTCGGATTAAAATGCGCGCTTTGTATAAAAAGTGAACAGCGGAAATTTAAAGTTTTTGTCAGTGCCAAAAAATAAGAATAAAAACTCGTAAAAGCAGCAAAAAACTGTACAACGGGAAATTAAAACTATATTAAGTGATTCAGCGAGATATATCACAATAATCTGAAGATGGCCAACAGCCGGAGCAATTTGCTGACAATCGGATTACTTCTGACCCTGGTTGCCAGTGGTCAGGCCCACCTTAACATCTTCCTCAATTTGCACGAGGTGTTGCGGCTAATCGGTGAGTTATCACACTTGGCCAGGCTGTGTGAAAATTTTAAGGCCTTAATTTCGAGTTATTATTGTGGCTGCCGGTTTGTTGGCCTGGCTTATTTGTCGTCTACCTTTCGAATTGTTTATCAATTAACTTTGTGTGGGCTGGAATTTGATTTATGCGGGGAATTTGTTTTTCTACTTCATTTTTGGTTTTTGGACAAAATACTGAGGGATTAGCTTAATATTCTTATTGTTTGTAGAATATTGTTTGTTCTTATTTTGTAGACAGATTTGTTGTTATTTAGAGGTGTTTATTTTTTAAATAGCATTTATTTCTGCTCAAAAAAAGTTTGTTGCTTTGTGTTTTACTTTAAAGAGAGATTTAAATTTATTTTTCTTGTGGAAATAAGGATATTTTTGGTTTAAAAAGGCTCAGATTGGGATTTGTTGACAAAAGCAACATCTTTAAAAATCTAAAGAATAGCTAGGATAAGTTGGTATATTTGTGGAATATTCAAAATATTTAGCCTAATATAAATAGGAAATAAAGAACGTTCATTTCTTATTAGTATTACTTATTTTACGTTAAATTAGTATTCATAGTTTCATGCTATATTTTTACACTAATGAAATTCAATTTTGTATATATTTGGAAACAATTAGAGACAATTTTTGTAGTATATTTTCACAAAAAAAAAACTTTGTTTTTGTTTAAACAATCCATTTAATTGATCTTCTTATAAGAAGTCACATTTAAAACGACCAATTTTTTTAGATAGATACTGTTTCAATTTATTAAGAATATTCCACAAAACTACAAGATGTTTTGTTTTAAAATTAGTCATAAAAGTAGAAAAAAATATATCAAAAATATATATTTTACATAGCCTTGTAATCCAAAATCCTATAAAAATCTCCTACTAGAACATCCAATAAGATACTTGTCGATTGCCTCTTAAATATCAAACATATCCAATCTTTCTTAAACACACCATTCACTGAAAACCTTTAAGCCCTTTATAGGCTCTCCTCCATTTTGTTCCGCCAGCCACCTTATCTTATTTGAAGTCAAGATATTTCTAACCAAAAACACACACACACACTCAGTCTCCACAAAATCCTGGCAAGCTAATAAAAGTGAGGAAAATTGTTTTACAATGTGTCACAGGCCCAGACAAAGAATTTACAACCCATTGCATATAAAAAATAAATCAGTAGCCAAGGCGGGGAAAAAGGCAAAAAAAAAAAAAATGGGTAAGGGATCAAGAAAAGGGTGGCCAAGTGGTGGGGACACCAAATCCACGAGGAATCGTAAAACACATGCAAAGTGTTTGTTTGTTTTGGGTGTCTGGATGGATCAGGATCGGAGGTGGGAGATGCCTCTGATACGAGGAAATTATCAAAAATTATGTTGTAAAATTTACAACACTCGCGTGTGTGCCCCGAAGTGTGTGCCAAGTGATTGATGGGCATTCGGATGGGAGGAGGAGTGGCCCGATTGCATCGCGTCACTTGTGAATAACTGGGTAAATATTTGGACTAGTGCAGCATGAAGGTACGTAGTAGGGCTAATCAGTCGCTTATCTGCCAGGTTATCACTGTTTGCCACTCGTCGTAATTCATATTGTGGCTGGCTGGAACCTGGGGATCTGGTGCCATAGGTCTCCTGGCTTCTTAACTGGCTTATCATCCACGGCAAGCGCCAGCAGACAATCAATCAAAGGCGATATGCCAAGTGGCTGGGAGGGCTAGTGTTGTTGGCCAGTTGAGGTTTTCCACTTGACATTACGGGCGAGGAAAATTTATTAGTTGTGTCAGCCGCATGTCAAAGGAAATCAGAATTGAAGCCCATTAAGCGGTTACCTCTTTTCATTTTCGCCCCCAACTTGACCCTACTACTTGCATTTGGTTGGGGCTTCGGGTCGAATGCCAGTCCAGGTCGCCTGGATCCCTGGCGATACGAAACCCTCTCCAATTATTCAACGTTGACAGCGGGTTGCATGCCTGACCTACTTTCGGGGCTTCACTATGTGTTCGCAACGTCATTGGGTAGGTGTCACTTTTATTTTATTTTACTTATACAATATATTTTTTTTTGTATTTTTTTAGCGGTCGCTTCAAAAGCCTTTGTGTGAGTGCACATCAATTAAATTGTCAACGAAGAAGGCGAAGCGCCCCGAGGAAGAGTTTTTATGCACTTGCAGCTGCGGCTGGCATTCACTCTTCACTGTTCGTTAGGTTAACATCCAACCCCATTCCATACCATCCCAGTCCATCCATCCGATCCATTCCATCACCACCCACTCTGGCAAAGTGCGCCCCAAATTGCTATGCTCTATGTAAACCATGTCAGGTGTGGGTCCGGAAAAAACCGGAGGGTTTGGGAGATAAGAGGGGGCTTCTTGGTTCGATGGTTCTGTGGCTCAGCTCGTTAGCGAAATGAGCGGATATGTAAAGTCGGTGCAGTTGATGGATTTTGCGGTTGCAATGAGTGACCAGGAGGATGCGCTCGAAAGACAAGTCCAAAAGTTGTCAGGTGTGGCTAAAAGTTAGGGACACCATTAGATAATTAAAGCAGAGATGCTTTCAGAACAGAAATCCAGAGTAGAGGAGTAACTTTTTTGGGGGGATATAGAGGAGTAACTCGACTGGAATTATAAGGAATATTTTTCGGTGAGCCATATTTACCTCAACGATGGTCGGCGCCCTCGAAAAGTTTTCTTCACACCTCATCCAATAATCCTGGCGTGTAACTTTTGCTTAACTTTGTATCCCTGCCAGATGGCTGCTACGCAGAACAGTGGCCCAGGATTCACGTATCCCATCGACTGGCAATTGCCAGTCACGTTCCGGGTCTGTCTATCAACACTTGCTAATCTCAACCCCATCTCTCTAAACGGTTTGACACTTTCAACTGGAGTCGGGAGTTCTACCGAAAGATTCATCATCTCCCGCACTGAACATGATTTTGCCGGGGCACAATGAAAATTGTTGCCAACTCACGTTTGGCTAATAAAAGCAAAGAACATTTGGCCGAAAATACAAAACATATTTTCGGCAAGTAATGTGAACTCAATTAGGACGCAGCATCATCATGGGGCTCAGGGCTCAGCTCAGAGCATCATGGAACTCTGAATGAAATCTCTTGTGTGCGTGGCCAGAAAGGTTTCGCCCTTGGAATAATTAATGTTCCAGTCGGAATCGAAGGCATTAGATGTGCTCGAGCGTGCGGCATGTGTTGCCAATTTTGCACGACAACATAAACAAGGCTACCTCACCCAGTCCAACACGCAAATAATATTATATTTTTAGCAAAGAAATCAGCAACAAGATATATGATACTAAAACTATCAATGAATTTATATCAATTTCATTTATTAAAGAACAAGATAAAATACATTTTTAACTTGAATTTTATTTTGTACAATTTTATCATAAAATTGTTACAATGTCTACCAATCAAATTCCTTTAAAATAAACATAAATTCATGTAGAATGTTCTGATAGTAAATATTGAATTATATTTAGTATGCACTTTGATGAAACCAGATAGTTTCCCTTGCCGTGTAGTCTGCCCGCCGGCTGGAGAACGTAATTGGCAAGTGAACAACGTGGCAGTATCGATTCCGTTGCTGTTGCAGTGACAGGAACGATGATGTTGCAACATCATGGCCCAGCCAGCGACAATCGCAGTTGCCACTCCAAATCCCGCTGAGGCTGCAACTTGGATGCACGTGGCACGCGTAACTCGAACCCTCCATTTCGAAATCCACGCACTGTCAGTGTCGGTGCGATTGCAAGTCACTGGTCCACTCTTACGGTTGGGATGGGACGGGCATTACGCAATCGGTTATGGCTTAGTGACCACGCCCCTGTAATTGACGCCCTCACTTGTGCTTAATTAAATCACTAAATGATTTGACGAGGCGGATATTGTTGTTTGTTGGAGCCATGGAGTGTGACAACAGCAGTATGCGCCGCATAAACATAAACAACTTGCCACAAAGCCTTCACACCTCC